TGTTCCCCCTCTTGTTTTGTTGTGTGTTGCCCACACGCGGTGCCGGCCCTGCGGCTGTGCGTCCCACGGACTGCACGAAGGGAGGATTGGAAGAAAAGGCCGGATGCCGCAATAAAAATGAGGGATGTTGTGTGGGCTGGTGGAACAGTACAATTTCATTTTTTTCGTTTTACTTTCTTTTTTTCATTTTCATTTTTCGTTTTGGTGCAGGTAATATTTATACAGAACACACGGTCGTCTTGTGCTGAACCGGCACATGAAGTAAAAGTCCTGCCGAATCAACACATTTTTTTTTTAAATGTTTTTGGGAGTTTTTCTGAACTCCTACCCTTTTGTTTCTTTTTTTCTTTCTTTCTTTTTTAATCCCTGCGGACTTTTTTTTGTCTGTGCCATGTCCACTGCCACTTTGTGTCCTTGCGTCCCTTTTCTTGTCCCTCTGCTGACCGTGCTGTTGACATGCCCCTATTGCCTCTTTTTTTTCCCCTGCTAGAGGCACCGATATTCCGCGACGACGATCGTTTGTGTTCGCCTTTGCGATGTCAACAGATTGGCTGGATGCCGTGCCCCGGCCTGTTGAGTGCACTCGGAGGAGAGCGGATGGTGTGCGCCGTGCCTCACTGTGAGTGTATGGCGCCACTCGCCACAACCTGCTGTGAGGCGTAATGCCTATTCGTCGGGGCAGAGAGAAGTAAAGGATAGCGCCGTGGACTTGCATGCGCTCCGTCCCTCTCGTTGCGGCCGTAGGTCTGTGCGCATGACTCTATCTTGCGGCGCGACGTGGATGGCGGTGCCTCTGCGTGCGTTGTGCGGCGGGCTTCTCTTTTCCATGTCTTTGCCCTGTTGTGTGAAAGGTTGTGGGAGAGGATATGTGTGGGAGACTGAGCGTGGGTGGGTGTCAGCCTCGCCCAGCGCATTGGGGGCTTCCATACATGTGGATTTGCTTGACGGCGTTTCGCGGCACCCAGGGTGTAGCGAGGAGGAGGATGGGGAGGGTCTGTTGTGGGCAGAAGGTGGATGGACAGGACAGTCCCCTTCCGTGTCCTTCCCTGTGTCGTTGGCAGTACTTACTGAGAGCGTAAATTTGAGCGAGTGCGGGATGAAGGGTTTATGCCGCTTTGTGCGTGCTACTCAATCGTCGTCGTTGCACGCTGTCGTCACGGTGCGTTGTGGTGCGGTGCCGTTAGATGAGGGAAGGGTGCGATGCCACGGCCGCTGCGCACCACAACCATTTATTGCCTCTGCACCGGCATTGTTTTGTTTTTTTTTTGCTTCGCGATGGATTTGTTGGAGGAGCTTTGGTTTTGGTGGCTGCTTCACGGCGTTTCGCCTTGTGTGTCGGTTGCGGTTTTTCCGCGTGATGCCAAGGCGTTTGATGGGGTGCTTACTCTTCTTTTTGAGTCCTGCAGCCAGCCTTGTTTGGCCATGGCGGGAGCAGTGGGATCTGCGACTGCGCGCCTGCCGTGCGTGTCTCATCTTTTGCCGTTGTTCCCTCGCTGTGTTGGTGGGGGAGGAGGCGAGCGACTGCGTCGGTGGAGTCGCGCTCCAGTGGGAGAGGGAAGGCACCGACCGCTGCTGACGGCGACGGTCTTTGCTGCAGGCGATCTGACGGGATGACGTCACCGGTGTCACAGTTAACCGAGATGGATGAGGACCGCACCGCGTCTTCCACCCCTTTCATCATCCCCTCAATCCACTGCAGTCACAACAGCCGCGCGGCATCTGCACGACTACCATCCGGACGTCTGTGAGCCAATCGGAATGCAATCGACATGGACTCTTTTCCCCGTGACCAAGTGCTGCCGCCGTGCTTCCTTGTTCCCTTCTTTGTGCGATGCCGTGCGCGCATGGTGCCTCTGCCTGCTGTGCAATGCCGACTCGCGTGAACGAGGAACGAGGCATTGACTGCTGGGGGCCGGCGAGCTCTCCACTCCACTTCCGCACCACCAACACCAACAACGCCTTTTGTACGCGCTTGATGGCTGGCGGTCGTAACGCTGCCACGCGGTCTGCCTCGGCTCTTGTGTGTCGTGCACGGCATCGGGACCGCCCTGTGATGCAGCCACTCGGTAACAGGAGCGGTGCCAGTGGTCGTTTGGCTTTTTGCCGGGATTCCACCACTCTGCGCGGTGACTGTGTGGGAGGTGGGAGGGCGATGGTGTCACTCACTTGATTGCGTCAGCGCGGCTTAGCTTCGGCGGCTGTACTGTGATGGTTATTGTGTATGACCGGATGTTTTTGCGTGCCACTGTGTTTGGTTACTGTTGTCGCTGCTTTTATTTCTTTTTTGACCCTGCAGTTAGAGATACTTTTGCTCGACCAGCACAACTATCGTTTCAAGGTGTTAGGAGTTAATTGCAGTATTAGGATTAGCAGTATTAGTATAACGATCTGGCGGAATCGTGTCACTGGATTCGCCATATTTAGGAAGGGATTTGCTAGGCAGGAGTTACGGTCGACGGGTCGAGTGCGACACACCACGACAGTCCTTTTATTACCTCTTTGGGTCTGTGGATGCGGTCTGCGGTGGGTGCGTGTCCGCGCAGCCGGCACCGTGTGCGGTGCAGGGCAATTTTGACTGTGCGTGTGGCGCTGCTCGTTGTGTTGGCACTGGTTGCGGCGGCGGCGTGGGTGCCCGCGGCGCATGCGGTGGTGTTGCGACTGCGGGGCGGTACGGTAGACAGAGCCATCACGGTTGGCCGTGCCGTGGACACGGTGCTGATGGACGGCGTGCATATGACGAACGGCGTGGCTGTGGTGTTCGACGTGGCGGCGATGCTTCCCGGCGCGCTGCGCATCGAATTGAGGAACTGCGTGTGCGACGGCGGCGCGCAGATCTACGTGCGGGGCTACGGCGGCGAGCCGGCGAGTGACCGGAGCCTGGAGGTGAGCGTGAGCGGGCTGTCCGGGAGCTACTGCTCGCTTGTGTTTGTACACAACCTGCCGGCACACACGAACGTGATGGTCCGTGACTCGACGATTGTGACGCCGGGGCCAATGCACTACTCCCAGCTGAATGGGCTGACGGACGCTGTGGCGTCGCCGCTTGTGCTGCACGCGACGTCGCTGTTGCAGACGCAGCTGCGTGTGAGCAACACTGTGCTGAGGTCGTTGCAGGCGGGCGGGTCGGCGGTGTATGTTGGCGGCGGCGTGGATCTGCTGTCGAGCGCGGTGGCGCTTGACGGCGTGTTGCTGGAGGCGTCGGGCGGTCCGACCGCGTCCGCGATGCATGTGGCGTCCTCGTCACGTCTCAGCCTGCAGAGCCACTCGGTGTTCTCCATGACGAACGTGTCGGTTGTGAGCAGTGGCGGCGGCATTGTGCTTGGCGAGCGCCTCGCGGTGATTGATTCGGTGCTGCGCTTTGTGGGCGTCGAGGGGTCTGTCGCGCCGTCGCTGGTGCGCTGCGACGGTGGGACGATCGGTGGCGGCGGGTGGCTGGACCTGCACGACGTGTGGGCGGTGGGCGAGGCGTCGTCGGTGGCGTCGCTGTCGGGTGTGACGCTGAGCGGCGGCGCCGTGTCGATTGCGCGCTGCGCTGCCACTGGCGCGACGCTTGTCTCCGGGCTGGCAATCACGAGCGGCGTCGTGTCGGTGCAGTGCAACCGTGCCGGCGGCCGGGTGCTGCAGAGCAGCGGCGACTACCGCATGGCCGGCCTGCCCTCCGTGAGCGTGTTGCCGTGCGACGGCTGTGCGGCTGCGCTGGCGTGCTTTGATGCGCTGACGGCGTCGTTTTCCGACTGCGCGTGCAGCTGCCGAGCCGGCGGTGTGGGCGACGCGTGCCTGCCGTTCGACGTGCCGTCTGCGAGGGCCGGCGGCGGTGGTGGCGATACTGCGCAGGATTGCATGAGTGGCGTGACGCTGACGGAGTCGGTGACGGTTGGCGGCGGGCGTGCGACGGCGTGCTTCGACTCGGTGGTGTTCAGCGGGCCGATCACTGTGGCGGTGGACCTGCGCTCGATGGACGTGTTCGCTGACGCACTGAACGTGACTCTGCGCCGCTGCGTGCTTGCGGGCGGCGCGCAGCTGCGGATTGGCGGCCTCAGCGAGAGCACGGCGCGTCTGATGCCGCACGCCCTCGTCAACATGACGAAAGTGACTTCGCTGGAGGGCACGATTGTGCTGCATGGCGCGATGCCGCCGAACTCGAGTATGCTGCTGGCGAACTCAACGCTGCGCGCGACGGTTGGCGGGTCGCAGTACGTGCCAACGACCCGTGGCCACGAGAAATTTCGGTACGGCTCCGCGCTTGTCTTGGACGGCGTCCGGCTGCTGTCGACGCGGTTTGTCATGACGCGGTCGACTATGGCGTGTGGCGGGGGTTCGTGCGCTGCGATCCTCGTGGAGCGCGGTCTCGGCGTGAACCTGTCCAGCGTCTTCTACATGGACAACTGCGTTGTCAGGTCGCAGACGCACGTGATGTACGCTCTTGCGTCGGAACTGCGTGTTGTCGGCGGCTCCGTGTTCTCCATACAGAACAGCTCGTGGAGTGCGCCGAGCACCGAATACGGCGAAGGCGCGTGTGTGTTCAAGGATGTTGTTGTAGATGGCGGCAGCGTGCTGCAGATTGTGTCCAGCAATTTCCGTCTCGGCTTCGCCATGCTCATTGCAAACACGCTGACCGTGGCTGGTGGCAGCTGGCTGGTGCACCGCGACAACGAGTTCCGAATCGCCTACTTTGTGTACGTGGCCAACGATAACGGCGTGGCGTTCCGCGATCGGAGTGTTTGGTCGATACTTGGCAACAACTTCACGTATGGCTCGTACTCGTCAACCATTGTAAGTATGACAAGCAACTGGTCACCACCATCCGACTCGCACCCGATCATCTACGGCGTGTGCAACGAGGCAAGGGGCTCTCCTGTGACGGATTACGGAGAAGAGCTCAATATTGGGACGCCCGTGACGGTGCTGGACTGTGGCGCGTGCACCGTGGACGCCGTGTGCTTCGCAGCGAGGACGAGCAGCATCAGCGGCTGCGAGTGTGTGTGCGCTGCTGGCGGCTACGGTGACACGTGTGTGCCAGCTACTGTTCCGGACGGCCTTGGGCCGCTCCCGCTCCCCGACGCGGATGACACGGAGGTCCGCTGCGTGCACGGTGGCAGCATCGGCTCCGTGGACTATCCTGATCCCGGTGTGCGTGGTCTGTGCTTCGTCAACGTGACTTTCACCGCCGCGATTGTGCTGAACCTGTGGAGCTTCGACGCGCCACAACAGACACTCAACATCACGCTGTTACATTGCGTCCTTGTGGGCCTGTTGATCAGGGGGAGTGGTGCGCGCGTGCACGTGAGCGTGGTCTCCTCGATGATGGATTCCGGAGTGTTGGTGTTTCAGGGTGATTTTGGCGTGAGCTCCCAAATACTGGTGGTGGGCAGTACGATTGTGACGATGTCGGGCCATGCCATTTTATTTGTGAAGTTTACTCTCAGTGCGAATATGACGCTGCTGCTGCTCGACAACTACATCGAGGGGAGCTGTTACGCAGTCTATTTCTCCGTTGCTCTTGTTGTTGATGGTGGCGGGATCATTTTGAAAGGAAATACGCTGAGCGCAACGAAGGATGATGACGGTGTGGAATCATCTGTTTACGTTTACGCTGTTGATGTGAAGAACGGTGGCTTCTTTGACATGGAGAACAACACGATGAGCGCGGTCAATGGCGTTATTCTTTTTGGGGATACCACCGTGAGCTCCGCGGGGCTGCTGCGAGTGGCGGACTGCACCTTCGTTGGCGGGACGGAAACTTTTGATCCCGCGCTGTTGCATTTGTCTGGCTCGGTGACACTTGAGGGAGGTGCGCAGTGGCGTGTGGAGGGCAACAGCGTGGGTGCAGCCTCAGTACTAACTATTCTGTATCCCCAGTACAAAATTCAGCTGTCGGGCAGCGGCACTACTGTGGCGCTCGCAAACAACCGTCAGGTGGGCGGAAACACTGTCTTTGCCATGCTTCTTCCATGGAGCACTATCTTGACGTCACCCGCGCGGTTTGTGGTTGGATGCAACCTGCAGGACGATGAGGAGGTGTCGTACGACGGTGTGTTTCCGGAGGACGTGGTGATTTTCAGGTGTGGCACGTGCAACGACGACGCGGCGTGCTACATGCCCGGGACGGAGTTGGTGGACCGCAGCTTGTGCTCGTGCAGCTGCAAGGACGGATGGCACGGCGCGTCGTGTCTTCCCTTCGAGGTGCCCGAAACGGTTGTGCCGCCCGTAGCGGAGAGAGCCGTCGACGGCGACACGAGCTGCGTGGTGAACCAGACGCTGACAGACCTCACGATTAACATGTGGAAGACCCATCACTGCTACGTGGGTGTGACATTCAGCGGCATGGGTGCCGTGTTGACGTTTTTCCTCAACAGTATGCCGCTGCATCTCCCCATCAACATCACGCTCACCGGGTGCACATTCCTTGACGGAGCCGCGCTGCAGTTTGTTGGGGGTGCTGGGGCGACCGAGTCATCCGGCGTCCTGATCCGCGTGAGCCAGACGGTGTTGCGGTCCTCCGCCGTTGCTTTTTTACGTGCCCTCCCGCTGCACTGCGACATCGCCGTCACGGAGGTTGACGCGGTGCAATCCTTC